TCCCTACAAATGACTCTGGAAATTTTTGAAATCCCAAATAAATATTTAAATATATAAGGAAATAACTTTTAAAAGTTTCAGTCTCTAATATTTAAGGCTTAGTAGATATAAAAGATTTAATTTAGATGTAAAAGGTTTTCATTTAAAACTCCTTTACTGTTTGTTTCTCACTAATATCATGGGTTTAAAAAGTTTTAAAATCAAATTATATATGTACTCCACATAACTTAGAAACTAAAAAATATCTATATGAACATTTCAAAAAATTTCAGAGATAACCTGATATCCAACCCATCTGCTCATTAAATGAAACCTTACAGCACTCTTAACTAATTTAGCTAAAACATCAATAATTCCCAAAAAGGTACTGTGGAGAAGAAAAAGTGAAAGATTACTGAATTTCACCTTTTACTAAAAAAATTATAATTCCACTTGCCAATTTCAGAATAGGATAAAAATAAAACTGAGAGATTATTTTTCAATGTTCAAAAACATACAAAGGTAAAGTAAAAATTAGGCCCAAGATTAGATCTTTTTCTAAGAATACTGCACTTTAATACTAAGTTCAGAAAATCCTAAAAACAAAGGGCTGAACATTATATATGAGGAAAACACATAAAAGTGGCGCATTCTACATATGGCTCCAAATTAAGCATTCATTTGTTCTCATAAAGAATAGCAAGAAAGGGGGAAAAAAGAAATAAAAGTAAATATTTACAAAGAACTCAGATTAAGGATAATGTACGTGTATGATATATTTTAAACTCTGAAATTAAAAAAAAAAGACTGGTATCCAGAAAACTGTTTATTATGTACTTAAAAAGGAAAGGAAAAAAAATGTAGTCCTGATAAATGGCGCTTTCACTATAGTTCTCATCGATCAATCTTATAATCCATCAAGTGGACAGACAGAAACCACCAATCATTATTCAGTTGGTTACAGATGTGAAATGTTTTCAGTTTATTTATACCAGCACAAAACAGTAAGTGACAGGAAGTGGAGTATAGATAATTTATCAAATACTTTTGATTAAACACAATTTCCTTTTAAAAACATACTTATAGCATGTTTTATACATATACTATTACCACTAAATAGCAACATGACTATGAATTTTTTTCTATTTCACTTAGCACAACAAACAGAAAATATTATAAAATTATCATTAATGAAAAAATACAATAAGAAGATTCACTATGTCACGTATACGATTAGACAAGTAAGAGCAACATACCAGTCTAGCCTTCTACAAACTTTAGAAGTAAACCAACATATTATTTCAAGTTGACTACCATATATTAACATAAATTTAATACTGAAAAGTGTACATAACAACTGCTTGGAGATATCAGAATTTTAGCTTAACTTTCTCTTGGCATTATGAACTGAAAGCCATACCCAAATTTTGAAGCAATGTCATACACTTGTTTTTCATGTTGAAGAACCTTCTCACGGTCCCCCTCAAACAGTAATGTAGCGACACTTAGCTGATTTGGATCAAATCCTTTAAACTACAAAAGAATATTATTATTACAGATAAGTCTTAGCCTACAAAATAGTAAATCAAAATACATTTTGCTCTTTTTTCTTCTGATCTGAGCTCAAACATACCAGCTCTTCAAAATCTGAGCTTTGGAACTTTACATGTCAATCAAAAAGAATGCTTAATGTACCTATTTAGGTCATCACAACAGAACAGCACTCAGGAAAAACACTTCATTTTAAAGTATGCCAAGGTATCAATTATAATGACATATTGGTATGGAAATACGACAAATTAACTTGTAAGAATTATAACTGTACCAAAGAATCAAATAAAACTACCAAAATGATAGAACATAATAAAGTAGCAGGATGTTGGGGGGGAGTAAAAACCAGCAGCACCCTTACATACATACCACCAATAACTTCTTATTAAGTAATATTTTCAAAGGAGACCTTATGTATAAAACAATATAAAACACCTAAGAATAATCTTAAAAGGAAATACATAACTTCATTAGGAAAACATCATCTAAAAAAAAGATGAGAGAAACGTATGTTCCCAAATGCATAAACTAAATATTATAAATCGGTCGACTTTTGCCCAAATTAATATACTAGTTTATTCCAATTTTAATAAAAACCTCAATGAGCTTCCTAAAATGATGAAGAGTTTCTAAAAATTTTCCAGGATACTGAACAGGTAGATAATGGTGATAACAAGGAAAATTCTGAAAAAATAAGAGGGAGAACTAGATCTACAGCAATTAAATCCATTTAATTTTTCAAGAACAAAAGCTCATTAAACAAAAGCTCTTTTCAAGAACAAAAGCTATTACATAAAAATGTCTTTTTCTTATATATGAGAAGATGTCTTAGACATGGCAAATCAATGTAAGAAAAGCAAGGGGCTTCCCTGTTGGCGCAGTGGTTGAGAGTCCGCCTGCAGATGCAGGGGACACGGGTTCGTGCCCCAGTCTGGGAATCTGGGAAGATCCCACATGCTGCGGAGCGGCTGGGCCCGTGAGCCATGGCCGCTGAGCCTGCGCGTCTGGAGCCTGTGCTGCGCAACGGGAGAGGCCACAACAGTGAGAGGCCCGCGTACAGCAAAAAGAAACAAAAAACAAAAAACAAAAATGAAAAGCAAGGACAGGTTAGTTAATGGTGCTGTCACAACTAGTTAGCAATCAGGAGAGCAAGAGGTGAAGATTAACTTAGTTTTTTTATCTCACATCATAAAATTGAGATAAAGTCAAACAGTAATAAAGACAAAAAGTTTTAAAATTCCCTTTTAACAAATAAGTGAGAGAGAGAAGAAAATGGTCCTAATCATAGTTCTGGAGGAAGACAGGCTTTTCTAAGCTTAAAAGTAATTAAATAGTCAAAGGAAAGATATAAAAATTAGAAACTTTTGCACCAAAAGAAAAAGAAAGAAAAGAAAGAAACCTTATTAAAAAGGAGTCAACTGACTGGAAAAATTATTTACAACATTTATGAAAAAGGCATCTAATAATTCCATTTTTCAAAAGGCACACAGCAAGGCATTAAACCATTCCCCCTGCACCCCCCAAAAAGAACAAACAGAAGTTGTTTGTTTGAAGTTGCTACCCCTAGCAAAATAACCACATTCAACTAATTCACAAAAAATTACATCTAGGAAATACAGGGAAATGGTCAGTTTCATTAGAGTTTCAAGAAATATCAACTAAAATAAAATACTATTTCCCCCCTGGATTTACTAAATTTAAAACAAAAGAAAACAAAAAATCCCATATGTAATAGCAAGGATGCAATCCAAAAATGGCACATATGCACTGTCATGTGTCAAAAGTTTTAAAAAACAAATACTTTTATTCCACTTCTAGATATCTACTATGAAGGAAAAACTTCAAACTATAAAAAATGTTATATGCTAAAAGTGTTCAATGAAGTGTTATTTTTAGGAACTTCAAATCCGGGAAAGCTTTTATATTTTCTGAAATTGAATGCATAATTGATTTACTTGATTAAATATTTACTCCAACCTAAAAAATAACAATTATGAAATGTACACAGCAACGTGGAAGAACATAGGTGTGTGTGAGGAAGAGAAGTCAGAAAACAAAATATCCTAAGCATTAAAAAAAATTCTTACCTTTGTAATATAAAACTTTTTTAATCCATCCAAAAATGATGTAAAAATAGAGGAAACCTGAGGTTTGAGAGCATGACCTAAGAAGAAAAAAAAAGTTCATATTTTAAGTTAATAGCAAACTAATTTATCTATGTTTTTCATAAGAGCAAGAGGCTACTTTAATTTAGTATCCTAAAAGAAAGTGAACATTTCCATGACTTTAGTTTTTAAAATCTCCTATGTTATACATATAACATATTGGTATTAAGATCTACATCTTTAAAAAGTCACAAACAACTTTTTGTTTACCAAACTCCTTCTTGGGTTTTTTTTTAAACTCAAATTACTATATGTAATTACTACTACACATAGGTTAGGTTATCTTTCAATGGTATAGTTTATACACAGTAAAATCACTTCATTAATTTTTATTTCATTAGGAACACCCAATGGTGGCTAGTTCTACTTTTATTTTTTTTAATTATGCAGAAACCATTCAGAACTATAACCAAATATGCAGTCAACGCCAAGTTTAAGATTGTTTCTTAATTAATTCTTAATTCATCCAGAATTGTTGGCATAAAACTAGTAATTGCTTCCTTAATTATACCCAGAGTTAAAATTGCCAAAAAAACATAAATGGTGTCTCAGAGTCTGTTAAATTAACATCGTTGCCTGCGGATTAAGCTTAATTGAGTAAAATTCTTTTACTGTTTTCTCATTGTTTTCAGAGTAGCAACTTCTTAACTCCCATGACTATAACATTTAAGAGTCAAGCATCTGGCCTTAGTACTGTGAGCCCAATTCAGAAAAATTTGGCACACCATTTATATAGAATTTTTATAAAGACTTTTAAAGCCTCTAGTAAATCTAAAATTATCTCCAAATAAAACATTTATTTTTAAAAAAGGCTTTAAGGTTTTGGGATTTTGTTTATTTTTAAAGTGTAGATTCCTTCTTTTAAAATAGGTGCAAACTAGCTTTTTTGAAGGAAAAAGGGGGGTTGAGAGAGATATTTCTGGAGGAAAAATGATCACTTGCAGTTTTTTTTTCCATTCATCTATTTTTTTAAAGTGAGAATCTGAATCTGTAATATTTATTACATTCTTACAGATTATAATAAGAAACTATATTACATAAAAGACCAAGTAACCAAATAAATCTTAACCAGAAGCTAAGAGTTAGGTAACCATGCTATAACCAAACAAAGCAAAAAACAAACAAACAAAAAATAAAGAGCAGATGACATAGACATGAACCTAGCAATCTTTTTGAGATCCTGGATCACAAGAGGTTTGTTTGGGATTTTTTTTTCTTCCATGGTAACCTGTCAGAGATGTTCTCTAGCATAACCAGTGTTTTTAAAAGATACCATTTCTAGCATGTATAAAGTTAAAGGTAACACATCATCAAAATATTCACTCACTGTCCCAAATGGAATTCAGCCTACTTTAACAGCAACTGGAAACAAATATATAAACATAAATGTGTGAGTGTGTGTATCTGATCCTCATAAAAGACTTCTGGTCCACATATTTTTACGCAATGTATGAAGATTCCAAATATTACTACCCCAATATGGAATAATCCTTAAGGGTATATGTTCATCTTATCACACTGAAATTTAAATGCACAACTTCTATTAACACTACTGTGAGTTAGTCACATATATCCCTAATACTGAGTGATGTGATAGCCTGATGGAATATGCTTCAAGCATAATTATTGCAAAAGTGATACTTTTAAGTGGGTGAGGTATTAGTATTAATTAAGAGGATATTATTATCTTTTACTTATTCTTAAATTAATGTTGCCTACCGAACTAATTACATTCTAAACATATTCCAGCTATTGTGTTTTATTTTATATAGAAAACAAAGGAACTAGTTCCTAAATTTACTAGCTAGACAGTTTGATTAGTGAATTTTGTTATTGTTACAGTGTTAATTAAATAATTTTAAAGGATTCCATAAATCCTTATGTTTCAAGGAAGTGCTCCAAAGCACTGGAAAAAGTCGGGCTTTGGGGTCAGACAGATTTGGGTTCAACCCCAGCTCCACATATAACTTGTGGACTTTGGCCAAAGTATTTAGCCTTTGAATTGTTTATAAATTGGAAATACAACCTTGAGGGATGGTTGTGTGCTACTGATAATGTGCTTAGCACTACCCTATATGCTATTCAAGATTTGTTTACCCTCTTTTGCTAATTTGATGATTAAGTCAATCGACATGTAAGTGTCTGTTATGTGACAGGTGCAGGACACATAAAAATGAATAAGAAACATCTCCCAAATCTGACAAACATTAGTTCACAGGGAAAATATGTAGATCGTTTCAATGTACTCAATGATATATATCATTTCAATATACTGAAAATGTATCATTTCAATATAATATATTGAGTTGTGTAAAGGAGAGGGGTGATAATAAAAATATTAACAACTAATAATAAGGCTTGTGCTTTGTTAACAATCAGTACAGTACAAACACTGACCAATCAGCCATACAGTTGGTACAAGGTCCCAGACATCCCTTGCTGTGCTAAGAGTTATTTAGTTGGTTGATCATGAAGTCATGGCAGGATATGTAGGTGGGAAAGCTTCAGTGAATACTGAGAAATCAAAAAGGTTACAGACAGCCAAGAAGCATGATCAGATCTGTACTGCTAAAGGATCACTTTGGTGGCCAAGTAAAGGGCAGAAGGAGAGGAGACACACTAAAGACTAGCGAGAGTAGAACCAACATTAGAGCATGTTCCTAGGTACCGTAATGAGAATGTGGAACAGGGATGACAGATAACCAAAAGGATCTTTCTTTGAACCTACATTTAAATTGTTATAGATCCCAGTTATAAATAAAATCTGGCCATATCATAATTAGTTTTACATAGGTGGCTATGTCCAACATAGTTTACTATCATTATAGCATATAAATGGATAACACAGTCTTATTAATCAGATAGATACATGGCTCTCTTCAAACCTAGATCTCTGAATGCAGGCCAAAATACACAGGAGTCTTGGTTTTCATTTGATTTAACTATTTCATCATTTATAGGACACATTTATCTTAAACTTTTATCAGTAGTATAGTATTTTGAAAGTAATTTACTTAAAGAAATAAAAGCTGTGACTTAGAAGAATCTAATTTTAAAACAAACCCTTGATATGCTATCAACCTGAGTTCCTTAGTTCAATTTCTATATAATTATGATAATCATTCTTCCCTAAATTAAAATCTAAGCTACTCGTACACCAAAGAAAAGCCTGCCTAACTTGGCCTTTAGTATTTATTATTGAGCAATCATTCTGGGACTATTTTGAGGGTACTTAAAGTCTATAAACTTAAATCCCAAACTAAATTTCAGCATATGGAAAAATTCAGAAGCAATAAAACTAGAATTGATAAGATGATAAATCGTGTCAGAAAGTTTAATACTTTAAGCAAAATAGGAAGAAAAAGAAAACATGGTTAACTGTTACTGAATTCTCCACCTGAATATTCCATGGTCAACTTAAACACAACCCATCTGTAATGTCTTTTCCCCAAAATCATCTCTTCTTCTAGACTGTTATTCAATCCACCAGTCAATCAATCAGACATCAGGAGTTGCCCTAAACTCTTCCCTTTATTTAAACTTCCACATCCAGTTGGCAAACTGTTCTTTGGAATATCTATTCTTTACTCTCTATCTCCACTGCTGCTGCCTTGAACAAAGCCCCCAGTATTTGCCTTTTTAACCATTTCAACTCCTCCTCCATGCTTGCACCATCCTAATCCATCCTGCATAATGCTAGCAGAATGAGCTTTCTATAAAGCTGATTTATTGTATTCCCTCTACAAAGATATCCCTCCTCTGACAAGAGAAAACCCAAATCTATCCTGCAAAGCCCTAGTCCACCCATCCAGCTTTATCTCTTGTAACCACTTTCACCCTACAGTCTATTTCAGCCACACAGAACTATCTGAAGAAGTTCAAACACACCATTAAGGTTTTACAATTTCATATTTTTTGCTAATAAGCGAACAAAAATTTGGTAGGAAAGAAGAGGCTGTCTCAGGCAAACTTCTATTCACCTTTTAAAATTTTGTCTAAGCATCACTCCTTCAAGAAGCCTTTCCCCACGCTCTGCCTCAATCTCAAGCAAAATCAAGTAGGATCAACCCCTCCTTCATCTGCACCAGGGTATCCAGTGCAGTCTTCTTTCACATCACCTCTAACACTCCTGCACTCATTCATTTATACAATTGTCTGTCCTCATTAGACTGAGAACTTCCTGCAGGACAGGAGCTATGACATTTATCTTTCTAGCTCTGTACTCAGTACTCTTCCTGGCACATAACTGGTGTTTCAAAAGTTTTTGCGGCTTAGTGAGCAGATTTTTAAAGTACCATTCCTTACTTACCAAACTGAAATTGCTGGTTGTCCATGAGGCGAATAGATGCAGGAGCACATCTCTGTTTTAAAAAGATTAAAAAAATGTGATACAAATTTAATACAGTAAAGAAGCTAGAGAGGTAGAAAATGAACGTCATCTTTCTGTATTTGAGATTAAGAGCTTAGTTCCTAAGGATACATACAGGAAAAAAAATCTTAACTTTTTATATAGTTTTATGACAACAAATAAAACATCAGTGGCTTCTATAAAGTATTTGGAGAGGAGAAATCTATGTACATAATATATATATACATACACATGTTGCCAGATCTTTAATTTATCTGCAACAAGATCTGCTTAATGCCTAGCAAAGACCTGTGGAAATACCTAAAGGAAATATTAGGCCTCAAAGTAGATTATTTTAAAACAAAGTAGAAAACTTATAAACTAAAATCAATGCCTAGAGCATTATGCCACTGATGAACTACAATGGGTCACTGCGCTCTTATACTCTTTTAAAATGAGGAAGATGGTGGTGGCATTTTTGTGGGCCAAAACACTTTAAAAATTCAACTGAGATGTCTTCATAGATAAGGACTTGTTCTTTCTTTTCATTCCTTCTCATAATCCATTTTAAATAGAAAAACTATCAGACAATGGAAAGAATTCTAAGATCTTTCAAGGTTACTTGTATGAAAACAGCAACAAAACTTGAAGCATAATATTATGTATCTAAAACATCTAAAACTGCACCTGTGTTATATTTATCTAGGCACACACTAAAAGCTGCAAGGAAAGAAAAATGAAGAAAGCAAATATTCAAATTAACTTTGTGATGCTACAACACTACCATACAAACACTAGCAAGGTTTAAGTTAGCTACAGTTTTTCCAAAGAATTTAAGTGAGATTTACCCTAAATGGGATTTTTATATTCTATGCAACTTTTTAACATGGTTAAACTTCCACCAAGAAGCTGCTTTCAGACCACAAAGTTTTGACTGTCATAAACCTTTTAAGCATTTATCTTCTGAATAACATTTATCAATAAAATCTTTATCAGCACAATGTTGAGATTTATGAAAATAGAATCACTCAAAAGAACAAAACTTATAAATATATACCTTAACTGTGTGTTATAACATTTTTGCTGTTATGTGCTTTTAATTGAACAAATACTTAATTTTATAAAACCACTCATAATACATACTTTATTTTACCCAACAAAATGACTGGTTAGATTCTTATTTTGAACACTGTATAATTTATTTCAACTTTGATACTAAAGGTGAGATAATACAATCTATATTTTTAAAAAGTCATTGCCATGGGCTTCCCTGGTGGCGCAGTGCTTGAGAGTCCGCCTGCCGATGCAGGAGACGCGGGTTCGTGCCCCGTTTCGGGAAGATCCCACATGCCGCGGAGCGGCTGGGCCTGTGAGCCATGGCCACTGAGCCTGCGCGTCTGGAGCCTGTGCTCCGCAAATGGGAGAGGCCACAACAGTGAGAGGCCCGCATAACGCAAGGAAAAAAAAAAAAAAAAAAAAAGTCATTGCCAAATCTGAAAAACAATATTAGGTAATTTATATACTTAATATAACAATAACCTATTGCCTTACATTTTATAGAATCCTATTGTGTGCAAGCTGTTTTCATATGTCTTTATTTAATATAAGAAACAACTTTGTCGGGGTAGCAGAACTGGTATTATCCCCATTTTACAGATGAGGATGTAAGAACCAGAGAGACTAAAAGACATGCGTGAGGTCAGATGACTGTAAAACAGTAAAGACAGAACTAGGACCAAGATATCCTGACAGCTAGATGAACGATATTTCAAATATGCCACACAGCCTCAAAAAAAAAAAAAATTAAAAATCACAAAAGACACACACATACTTACACACACAGAGCTTTCAAGTCACATTTGAAACAAAAATTACATGAAAACCATCTTACTTGCTATTTTGCAGTGTTAGTAAAAGTACATTTATAAAATAAAATAAAAAATCTACAACCTGAGTACTTTCAAACCTTGGTATAAACGTATCTTTGTAGTTGGGCTAATGTTTCTAAAAACATTACCAGTTTCCAAAATACTAAAGGAAAATCAATTTTCCTGAAACATTTAAATTAAAACAGGCACATCAACTTCAAATAAAACAAATAAAGCCTGAGTAGACCAAGTTTCTTTTCTTCATAAAATAAACAGAATATCACATAACATATGTATTTATATGTTTGGGCTTAAGCATACCAGTAAAATACGAGAAAGAATTCAGAGCCATTCTGTCATTATTAGAAAAAAAACTTTTAAATTCCTACCAACAACTTGTAAATTCCATCTCTTACTGCCACTCAGATTCTACTTCACCTGTATCTATAGCAGGTGTTATTAATGAAAACATAAGCACACATATAACAGAAAATGGAAAAAAAGCATATTACATTTATAGTAAATTTCTAGTGGAATTTAATCTCTGAAACAACTAAAATACAATATGTAGGCCTTTGATGAGATCTTAGTTTGAAAGACTATCCACAAAATACATTTTGGGGACAACTGGAATAATTGATTATAGAATGAATACTAGATGGCATTAAGAAATTACTGCTGGACTGACAGATATAGAGAACAAACTAGTGGTTATCAGCTGGAGTGGGGGGGTGGATATAGGGGTGGAGAAGTTGGAGGTACAATCTGTTGGGTGTAAGACAGGCTCAAGGATGTATTGTACAACACAGGGAATACAGCCAATATTTTGTAGTAATTATAAATGGAAAGTAGTCTTTAAAAATTGTACAAAATTTTGAAAATTAATTAAAAAAAAAAAACGGAAAAAAGTACTGCTGATTTTCTTAGACATGATAATGGTATTGTGGCTATAAAAAAGAACACCTTAATTTTCAGAAGATATATACTGAAGTATTTGGAAGTCAAATGTCATAATGCAACTTAATTTCAAATGGTCAAGAAAAAATACACAAATATGTAAAACAAACAGCAAAAAGTTAGTAACTTTTGCATATACAAGATGAATATACAGGTGACCACTGTACTATTCTTTCAAAGTTTGTGTATGCTTAAAATTTTCAAATAAAAGTTGAAAAAATAAGTGAGAAACTTGCTTCAGGGCACTTGCTACATACAGCAACTGATATTCAATTATATTGAATATGATTTTAACTTGACAGCTGAGTTATATAAACTAGTCAGTCATCCACTGTTCCTATTTATACTGAGGCAGAGTTGATGATTACATACTAACATATCGAAAAAAGAATTAAAAGCTATAGAAAGCTTTTTGTATCTAGATAATAAATATTAAATTCACTTTCAACACTGACTTTTAAAAATTATCAAAATCAAACCAACAGCTTTAGTAAGTCTCATGTTTTAATAGTGCCACATTTTTAAGAAAGTCAGTGAATGGAGTTTTTCAGTTATTGTCACAAGTAAATTCTCATAAGCAAAGCACAGCATCAAGATTGCTTTAGATTCTCCAGCAAATAATCTGTAAGTCACTATGCATCATTCTAAAAATACAAAGGAGGAAAAGTTTCTTAGAATTTTAAATCAGAAGTCATGACACCTAATTAAATAGGAGTCCTTATAATCAAAAAACCAAAATAATATTACTATTCTTAAAAAACAACATTCAAACTAGGTTACTATACTTACAGTTAAGATTAGGTTATATTTTAATGCTATAAAACTACTTTGGTAAGTTAAAAAAATTGAAAATAACTCCTTTAAAAGTTAAAGACATCACAAATTCTGAGAATTTGAGCTCGAAATTCAATCCCGTGCTATACAATTATGCTCTGCTAGAGTATTCCATAGATGAGGAAAGGGGAAAAGGGTCCTTGAGTTAAAGTGACCCCTGGTGGTAGGTGATCAGAACTAACCTGAGGGGATATTTTTACCTAGAAATTTTAATGGTGGGTTGATGATACATTCAGGGTATTTAAGGAACACTCAAACAAAAATTGCTTACTTGAAGTGGAGTTAATGAAATAACTGATTTTGTTTTTATTATGATAAATGCACTCTGACTAAAATCGCTTAGGTTACCTGCTTGTACTTTATACTTTAGTAAATAGTCTAAAAAAAATTATATGAGAAACTCATTATGGACTAATAAATAAATATCAATATCTTTGTTTTATCTGAGCAAAGAAGAAATAAATAAACCACAGTGACCTCAAAGCATGGGTATATGGATGACTAAGTCAAATTGCTGCCAATTTCTTCCCTTTAATGACGCTACAACCAGGAATTTACTTGAATACGTAACCTGAAAAATAAAAAACAACCACTCTAACTAGTCTTATAAGAAACACATCAAAAGATTTCTGCAAAATTTGTTTTTATGGAACTAAGTCATATTGCTTTCTTGTCACAGGGAAAACCAGAACTCGCACTTCATATGAGACACTTTGTTCGAGGAGGTATCTTAGTTTACTAGCTACTGGAGAAAGAAATTCAATATTAACATGTTTCATATGTCTGCATGATTTCTTCTAACTTCATAAGGATAAACTATAAAATGTAAGCACTGAGTGGCAGTCCTCTATCTCTTGTATCTTGGTTAAAAAATGAATAACCTTTGGGGCTTCCCTGGTGGCGCAGTGGTTGGAAGTCCGCCTGCCGACGCAGGGGACGTGGGCTTGTGCCCGGTCTGGGAGGATCCCACATGCCGCGGAGCCATGGCCGCTGAGCCTGCGGGTCTGGAGCACAGGCTCTGCAGCGGGAGAGGCCACGGCAGTGAGAGGCCCACGTACCGGAAAAAAAAAAAAAAAAAATGAATAACCTTTGAATTAAAAAGGTTCATTTTTTCAAGGAGTAAATCAAACTTTCAGTATAGACTCTGGAATGGCCCTAGTTCCTGGGCCTTAAAACTATTCTGGAGATAGTCTACTAACATACTGTATCAGAAGCTAATGCTTCAATACCAAACCCCTTGTATACGGCTATACAAAAATTTAAGCACAGAAAATTTTATCATGATATGCAGTATCTTTGGTGACTGTTAGAAGACAGAAACCATGTCTATTTAACTTACATAATATCAACTGCA